CATGGAGTAAACTGGTATGCGCACTGTAAACTATCCTACAATAATGTAATATTGATAGAAATGGAGAGAACTGAAAACGCTCATTGGAGACTATGCCATGTTTTGGTGCATGTTTTTGAAGCCATTCARCTGTTCAACCTTTTTGGTGCATTTWAATTGGATATCAGAGAACACAAGTCAATCTATTTTAATTAAGTCATTTTTATCTTATGCAATTTTTTTCATTGCGATTATGATGATCATCTTTCATGTTATGCACTTTTGCAGGCCATCATTACCAAACAATTCGCACAAAGCGTTGTTCTTCCGGAACAAATTGTTAACACTCTTTTTTCAAATGCATCCACTCAATGAATATTATGATGTCAAACACACTAAGACACACTTCTTCTTCCGGGGCTTTGTTTTCACGGTTCTCCRCCCACCTGGATTTCATATAGGTATTAAATCGTTCAATGTTTTGATCTGCGCGTCCATATTAAAAAGAAAGAGAAATATGACAAAACAACGCAAACCGACGCAAAAGGAAACAATAGCATCCAAAGTCAAACAATTAAAGATTTGCGTGCGATACTTTTAGATCAACAATGTACACGTGCGTCATCTCTGTATAGGTGTTGATTCCTCTGTTATGATCCTCCCGCGGGAAAACGAATATGACACGGAATAAGCAAAGAGGCAAAACACGAATTAATACGAGAGTCGAACGGGTTGTTCAGAGGACATCAAGAAAAATAGCGTTGTATTTGTGCAGTTTTCTCTTGAGAAATATAAATTAGGCGATGTGAAAAATCAAAATATTCATCCTATTGTCAAATCAAAGCATTAAGCTGCATTACCAACACTACTATTTTGATATATTATTTAAATTCTGTGACCTTTTTGCTTGAATCACAAAGACACAGAAGAAAAGACAAAAAATGAAACAAAAATGAGATGTAGAACAAATGATTCCTGATCAATGTTATTGCGTTTGAGACTTCATTATTCTTCGATCTTTCTCGCTTTCTACTATTCTGTTTGTTTTCCTGTTTTTTGTTTGTTTGTTTTTTTTCTTTTTCTTTCAATTATTTTGTTTTTGTTGATTTTTTGAATAGTTTCTGATATTTCAGATTTTCAGGYTGAAAATCTCTCTCCCCCCCCCTCCCCATCCTCAAAAAAAAAAAAAAAAAAAAAAACCAGTTATAATTCATATTTTTCATCTTAAAATCTTTCTTTGGGGCCTCCATTCATCTACATAATTGTTCTTAAATAATTATTCTCTTTTCTTTAGGACTATGCTGTATATTCGTAAGAAAAATGCTATTAATTCACGTACTGTTGGCAGATTTTATCAGTCTAATCTACCAGTCATTGTCATATTTACGACTGCATTTAGACACAACATTAACAAGACTGCTACCAATTTCCAAAGAAATTTCCAATTTCCTTTTTCAAATGTTTCTAACCAAACGAAATTGTTTTTAAAATCATACATTTATCATTACGAAACCTCCTTGTGAAAGAATTTTCAATGAAGGAAGAATTGATTTTGRCCTATACCAGTTAGGGTTCCGTTTTAGCTGAAAAATTCGGTTTTCCCTTATTTCTAGCTAGTCTTTTTGGATAAAAACGTTCAACCGTAATCCCTATCTGCGTCGCTTCTTGCACGCAGCATAAGATGGTCCTTGAAAACCCAATGAAGACGCTGGTTTGTTCGTGATTTGCMGCATACTCAGGAGATATCAATACAAATAATTACTCCTCAATATTGTAAACTCTGCGGCAACTATAAGGGACATCAAAAGCAGCGTGTCACGTTGCCTTAAATACATTTTAAATCTAACGTAACTCAGCTTCTGCTGTAAAGCTGGCTAGATAAGTGGGCCACCAGTCTAGTCCGCCACTTTCCATTCCCGGACAAAAATGTGGCCTCTGCTAGAACTACATTTTGCATGCGTGCTCATGTCCTACAAAAAAATGCGTTACGTGCACTAGGCGATAATGACGACTATTTAGTGAGAATGGCTAAATTTCTAATATATAGCCATACAAAGGGTTAAGAGGGAGTGGTCCAGATAATTGTTGTGAGTTTAGTTTTATGTCAGGACTGTTTTGTCACGTCGGGCACGGTTGTACGAAGGGTGGAATAGCGCTATCCAACGGATAAATCCTATCCAGTGGATAA